CTTTTTTTTTTTACAAAAAAGTGGATTTCAAAATATTTAGTTCACCATTGGCCCCAGATAGCCCCAGGTATTTCGACGGGGCTAGGGGGGGCAAAGTGGCAGAGTAAAGTATCTGGAAGTGCTCTGAACGCTAGCGTATACGTCTCATCATAAGCCTAACCCGACTCTTACATAAAGAAAGGGAAATCTGTAGGTTCATTTTCCAATCTGTGTTACTGCCACAAAACAAATTAAACATGTCAGAAGGGGACTTAGTTTTCCACACGTTATCCTCTAAAGTCAGTTGCAAACTAATGAGATAGCCATGCATTTATTCTATAATGCAGGTTCAAAGTCTGCACGGAATATTGCCGTATTTTAGCCAAATGGGCTTATCGCAAGTCTCTCTGTTATTGAACTGAAAGCATGTTAATAGTCCATTACCTCCCCCGGTCACAGGTTAAGACCGATTCCTGCGTTCTTTTCTCTTTTGCTACTTCGTGAGATATCCCTAAAAACGTAATAATTTGACGCTCGGTTTCTAGTCTCTGCATGAGTTAATGTGGATCACCAGACAGTAAAAAAACTATCGCCTTAAAAAAACGTGAAATACTCATACATGTAACGATGTTATATCCTATTTACTTTCCATATCCATGTTTAATAGACTTGCTTTTGCGTTGTATTAGGTTAAATTAAATGGTTATTCTTGTTAACAGTGCCGAGCTGTTGGAATAAAGAACTGCCATTAATAATCTTCCTTTACCTCCATTTTTCCACTCTTATCTGTAACGCCGACCGAATATTTTTGTCAGCTTATCGGGTCGTATTTAGTTCAATTCGGTTTATAAAGAAAAAACTAGATGAAAGCCCTTGAACTCCCTACTGGGTTTTCACGTTGAGCTTTTAATCCCGGACCTTAACTCGTACAACTAGTGTCGATGAACTAATTTTCTTGCTTATGTCTAGAACGATAAGCATAAGATAAAGTAAGTTCCCCCCTTTTTCCCTTTCTTTCAGGGCCTTTTGATGACTGAAACAACCGAAACTGTCCCAGACCAGGTAATACGACTGGTGAGCGAGGAGATCCTACGGGTGACGAAAAGTCCGTGCGTGGTCGTTAGTGGTGGTGTTAACGCTAAGGGCCTTGCAAATGGTGACTTTGCAGAGGCCACGATCGGTTGTCCAAATCCAGAGCGAGCAGAAGAAGCAAAACTACTTCTACAGGTAAAGTACCCTACAACATCTTCTCATTCTGCTACTGGTTCATCTTACTCGTTTTTTGCATCGTTCCGTCATACTCACATTCTTCCTCTTTGTGTACCTCACTCGCCTAATTCTCTTCCCCCCCCCAGTCACCGCACTGTCGTACTTTTCAACGCCCGTGGTTGGCTTGTAGGATGCACCTTTGGCGCCACAATCGTCAGGTCCTGATGCAGCTAGCTGGAGAAGACTAAAGGGCAAAAGTGGCTTGCGTAGGCTCAGCATTTTGTTCTGCAAAAAGCGGTGGTTATAGAGTTTTGGGGGTGAGGAAATAGGATAGGCAGAGAAGGAAATTTTTAGAAGTGTCAAGTGGAAAAAATGTAGTCGAAGTTGCTTCCCGTGACCGCTGGGAGCAAGTTGTTCCGCATGTAAATTGAAAGTGTAGGCGCCGCGGACTATACTAATCTTACTCCAGAACGGTTAGTTGGACCTCAGGTAAGTTGAAGAAGATGACCTCCTAACCACCATTTTAATTCTTCGGGACATTCAGGAAACCTGTAATTTGATAGTCGGGTTTTTCTCTAATAAGCTAAACGATAATACAGATTAGGAAAATCAACAGATATAAATCTACAACACTCCTAAATCCAGTAAAATGAAAAAGCATTTAGTATTTATTAAAGTTCAGTTGACTGTCTATCCTGATTTCCCACCCATAAAACCCTTCACAGGAAAACATGCAGGGAGTAGGGATTAATGAGTAGGCCTACATAAGCTACT